TACTTCATTTATGGTTTCTTTTATATTTGATTAATTGAATTACTGAACATTATTTGATGATACTTTTAGGTAGATTTATTTTGTATAAAATTAAAGGCCTAGATATTATATCCATTTTAACTTTATTAATATTTTTTTGGGTTACTTTCACTCGTTAGATAGTGTAATTACAGACTCCTCCCCTCTTAGTCAACAAATTGCATATACCTCCCCTCTTAGATAGTTTCGCTAATAATGACTAACAAAGCATGTGAAATGTCATTTTTACCCTCACTTTTTACAATTAGAAATAAAATTAATTTGGCCAAAAATAGAGGAAAATAGACAAATTGGGATTACTTATTGGAAATATTGAGAAATTAGAATTGACACCCCCTCTAACAACTATGATGAATTGTAAAGGTGTTCCGGTTCGTAAAAAGTTCGAATAGTCAATTTTAGTCAAAAAGGTAAAATAGAAAGTTCATGTCAATTTTTTTATGACGTCATCAGTTTCCATCCAAAAAATGGATGGATGACCAACGGAGTAAGTAGAAACATCTAATAGGGGAGGTATGGACAATTTGGTTTACTAGGATAGGGTGAGTCTGCAAATTCACTATCTAAGGGGGGTCCAAACGAAGTTAACCCTTGATTTTTTTTTTCTTGTCAAGCACACACATGGACTATGCCCATAATAACCAGTGTTCTAAAAATCAATTGAGACGGCCGATTAATCGGTCTTCAAGGTGGAGGCGGTCTAAAAGCTTTACGATTTTAATTTGGTGTAAATGTGTGATGATTTATGTTTTGTTTTATTTTACTTATGTTAATTTTAGTTTTAAAGAATCTAATAATATATGATCGTAGTTTTGAAGTATAATTTTGAATGCACAAAATTTTTATTTTATTTTTATTTTGTAAGAATTTTAATCATATTACAATCTTATTATTATTAAAATTTTATTATGTGTTATGATATGTAAATGATGTTAATAAAATTATGTTTGAATATATTATTATATATGTTTTGAGTATTTATAATTAATAACTAAAATTATATTATATTAAATTTAAAAAACCGATTTATTTCTGATCTTCGGTGCCTAACCGCCTCGGACCGAATTCCCACCTTTTACAATCTTGATAATAACAATACTTAAATTTCACATTGCTAATTCACAAACACAAAAATACAATACATAATTGGAGGCACACTACAAGAGGATGTCTCCTTTATTATCTTTCTTGCACAATAATTAACAACTTTAATTTAATTAATATGAAAACCCACACGTGAGGAATCTTAGAGTACATTCCCAAATATATCTTGTAATAATAATAATTGCTGTAATAATTAAGTAGAAACCCCACCACACAACTTTGTTCTTCAATTATTACAGCTCCAACACCAAATCTACAAGGTCAAACAAAGCCAATAATAATAATAATAATAATTCATGCTGGTCAGTAATTTAAATAAAAAAAAAAAATTATGCATGTAAATATTGAAAGAAAATCACGGCTTAATCCCAATTTGCATCCTCGAAATAAATTAATAGCACTTTGCACCTTCGAAACACAATATATGATGCATAATGCACCACCCCACATGCGTTTTTAAGCTAATAGAGATTTTTAATATTTTTAGCGGTATTTAAAATTATATTTTTTATTACAAAAAAATATTTTACGAAAAAAAATTCCTTAAGCTATTTCATTATCAAGTTATCTAAAAATCATATTTTCTTCCAAATATTTCTACATACTATTTCCACCAATTACAATAAAAGATCTATCAATCGAATAATTTAGTGATAAAAGTTTATTTAATTTTATTTTGCAAGAAAATATAGTTTTTTTTCTTTTTTTATTATCCGGTGTAAATTTTTTTTTTTCGCACTTTGTGCGCTCGAAATTAGGTTAGAGGTTGAAAAAAAAAGTAACTATTTAATTTGTTATTTGGCACCCTGAAAAAAAAAAAAACCCAATAAAAAACGAATTATCCTTTATTATTCAATTAAGGTTGCATTGTGAATAAGGGTGCAAAGTGTTATTATTATTTTTCAAAGGTGCAAAGTGCCAAAAGGCTCCATTTCAAGGGCGCAAAGTGGGATTAAGCCGAAAATCATAATTAAGCATGCAACCGAGTTATAATTAAATGACTCACAGTCGGAATCGGTGTTGACCCAGAACTCGTTGGCGTTTTTGTTGATGATGGGATGTTGATCAGGGTATATTATGATATCTTCAGCAGAGGAACTACGTCGTATTGTGCCTCCACTGTAGTTATTATTACAACCCACCAGTGGTACTGACTCACTGTTCTTCATCATCTCATCATCATTAATATTCTTCTTCTCCTTTTTATTACAAGCTGATTCCTCTGCCGTGTAGTTCTCTGGATGCACTTTCCTGTTGAATATTTGCAGAATCTGCATTTTCCCACAATTATAATTACAATAATAATAATAATACTCAAAATAATAATAATTAATAATACTAATACTAATACTAATAAGGGTAAATTACAAACACCCCCCTGAGGTATGGTCGAATTACAAAAACACCCCTCTTGTTTGGATAATTACACCCACCCCCTCAACTCCTCAAATTTAGTGGAATCTTCGAGATTATATGGAATATTATCACTTTTGTACCCATTTTATCCCATTCAAACTCTACATTATGAAGCAAGATGATCATAATATGTGATTTTTAGCTTGTATATATCAGTTTGCTGTGCATCGAAAACTGTATTTTTTACACAAAACGAGTACAAACTAGAGCACGTTTCACGGAATCTAGATGACTATGTAGAATTTGGCACCATAAAGGTGGAGGTCTAAGAAAAAATCATAGTTGAGGGGGTAGATGTAATTATCCAAACAAGAGGGGGGTTTTTGTAATTTGACCATACCTCAGGGGGGTGTTTGTAATTTACCCTAATAATAATAATAATAATTTATCACAACAAAAAATATGAAAAGTAAATATAATTCGAAATTAAACCTTGGTGAGTTTGGTCTCAGAATCAATAGCATGAACAATCTTCTTCTTGAGCATCTTCTTCACCAAGCGCACGGCGGATTTATCCCTTTCCGATTTTACCCCCGAGTTCATTTCCTCAGCTTGTTTTGTCTTCTGAAACAGCTCCCCAAGAGAAGTCCTTTGTTCTTTCTTCGCCGCCGCAGTTTCAGTCGTGGTGGCGGCCGCCGCCGTTCCCAGCAGGTAGCTCTGGAGCGGGCATACATCGGAGATCCGATTGTTGTTCCCACTGAGGGTAATGGAGCTGACGTGGCTGAACCTTCCGGCGCTGCTGCTGACGTGGCTGTTCCTTCCGGAAGAAGCGATGTCGTCGTCGTCCCCGATATTCAGAACCTTCTCGAGCTCGTCGTTGATCAGCTTGAGCTCGTTCTCGGTGATCGCCTCTTGCGTCTGCTTCTCGGCTATGTGGTCCATGGTGAACCTTGGTGTCGACGGGTAGTAGTCGTTGTCTTCTTCGTCTTGTACGTCGTTGTCGGTGGCGGCGAATTCGTGGGAGCCGAGCGTGCCGATTGCGAGGAATCCGTGGAAAAGCTCCGTCATGTCGGATTCCGAAGTCGGTTCCATTAGTTCATGGTCTTCGTTGTTGAGGTTGTTATCGTGGTCGTCTCTGGCGGACTCGAGGCTCGTGAACGAGTTTCTGCGGTATCTTTGAGTTTTGGAGAAGGGCTTACAATTATTATTACCCGTGCCGCCATTGTAGCAGTGTAGGTCATCCAAGTACGCTTGACCTGTAAAATTACGCGTTATGTCGTCAAATTAACTAATACTACATGCATCCAGGATGCATGCAGCAACTCTAACTCAATCGATCAGAAGTTTAAGCTGTTAGTGAAATGTATCATTTAATATTAATATATCTCCAGTACGCCAGGCCTCAAAGTGCAGGCGGATTATTATATTTTTTAAGCTTTGCACTTGAAATATTTCGAAAGAAGATCGATTTATGCAATAGCTATTTAGATATATGTAGAGAATGACGTTATAATTAAAATATTACCGTGATACGATATATATTTAATATATCGTATATTTATTCGTTAGTTATTATTTTATTATTTAATATATTATTGAAGTATTATTAGTCATATGTATGAAATATTGTGCAATAAAGAAAATATTCATATCGAAAAAGAAAAGACGATTATATTAAAAAAAAAAAAAAAATGGATACAATCTTCTAAAATATTTTTCAATAAATTTTATATGTTACCTTCATTTTTTTGGTGGAACTAGATGTAAGAGAGCTTGATGTGAGCAATAGTTGGGAGATAATTGATCTTTAAATAGACCAAGTCTTATTTTGACCATTAATTAAGCTTGTACGAAAAGCACTATTGACTCAATTACTGTTTTATTGAAAGTAAAGAGAAGTTAAAAGGAAATTGGTAAAATTTTCGTGTTACTTCTTTAATTTTCTGAGTTCCAAACTATTCATTTTAATTTGTACAATTCTATTTATTTATTTATTTATTTTATCATCAATATTCAATATTGTTTGTTCTTCTTACATATTTTTATCCATTCAGACCTAAAACTTGTATATGCATGTGCATGCAGTGATTGATGTATTATTTGGCACTTGTTTTCGGCGGGGAAGTTAGTGTAGGGCAGGGGTCGGGTCAAATTTCTTTTTTTTTTTTTTTCTTTTTTTTTTTTATTTCTTTTTTTTATTTTTTTATTATTCTATATGTTTATAAGATTTATTGTCTTTGTATTGTGCTCTATAATAATGTGTAATAATTTAGGTTTAAATTAAATATTTTTTTATTGAAATAGATAAATAAAAATAATAAATGAGTCTAACACATAATAAGATAATGAAGTTACGGATTGTCACTTGATCAAACTAGAGGCGACTCCACCCGGGGTAATGACGGACTCAAGTCGACCCTCGGCCAGAAAAAAAAAATCAACTATATTACACATTTATATTTATTAAGTCCATCCAATTTTTATTAGGGTAAATTACTGTCGTCCCACCTCCTGAGGTAAGATCAAATTACAAAACAAAAACCATCTTATTTGGGTAATTACACTATTCCTCTCAACTATGAATCTTCTTACACGTGTACCCATACGGTATCAAATTTAGTAGAATATTCTCTAGTTTGTACCCGTTTTACCCCATTCGAGCTCCACATTTTGAGACAAGATGATTATAAGATGCGTCTTTTGGCTTGTGAGTATCATATTATAGTGCATCAGAAACTGTAGTTTTGCACAAAATGAGACAAACTAGACAACATTTCACGGAATCTAGAAGATTATGTTGAATTTGACACCATAATGGTGAATGAGCAAGACGAATAATAGTTGAGGAGTTGTGGTAATTACCCAAACATGAGTTTTTTTTTCGTAATTTGACCTTACTTCAGCTTACTTCAGGGGGTGGCCGTAATTTACCCTTCTTTATTAGTTTTTCCACCCAAAATCCAAGTTAATGTAAAAAAGTTCTAAGTTTAATTTCTCTTTTTCTATTTTGTGGTTTTTGTAAAAAAAAAAAATTCCTATTTTTTTTCAAAACCATTGCCCCTGAGTCCCTGAAAATGTAAGTGTTGGGTGCTAAATACCTAACACGCAAGTGCACGTATCGCAAACAAGTAGTAAAAGTGGACTCGTGAGAGTCGGATGTCGATCCCACAGGGAATACTCAAATTATCTAATCCTAAGTACCAAATTCTAACAACTATGATTCTTATCCAGCCTACGCAAGTTGTCAAATTAAATCAATTAAACAATTAAACTAATTAAGAAAGCAAATAAACACGAGAAAATATCAAAATAAAACGGATCTAGGATTTTATCTTCCCCATATGCAAGAATTGCTCACCCAAAACCCCTCAATTATAAAATATATGATTTATGATTATCAACCCGAGACACTAATTTACTCATAACCCGCTGTCGCGTGTATTATGAGTCTGTTATTCATAAACGATTCACTATATGTCTATGCAAACCAATTATGAATAAAGCGTTAACTAACAAGTCTCGTAAATGGCTACCTAAGGTGATATCTGTATGTCTACGACACCACATGCAATTGACACACTCATCCGGTGAAAACTACTCGAAGGTTCTTCTACTTACCGTCTAATTATCAAAATAGCTTTGTCGAGTCAATCCCAATAATCACAGATAAAGCACATAAATTGATCAAGTTCATGCACTAACAATCATAACAAGTAGAAGAAATAATCATAAAATCATAATTGCATAATCTCAAGAAAAAGGGTTCGCAATCCCTACATAGGGTTCCAACAAAATCCTAGATTAAAAACTTAGCTACGCATGTTCTCTACGAAAAACATAATAAAAACATAAAAAGAATAGATTAAGAAAAGATAGATAAAAGAAGAATTGTGATGAAGAGTTGTCAATTCTCCGTCTTCGATTCTTCGTTCTCTCGCTCCTCTCCTCCAAGGTTGTGTCCAAAAGTTTCCTTTGATTCGTGCTTGGTTTGAGCTTAAATAGATGTCCCAACTTGGTAGATGATTCTAGGTTTCCTTGTGTGTTTAAAAGTCCAAAATACAACGTGATTTGGCACGGCCGCGCGAAAATCAGTGCAATTCTCGCACGGCCGCGCGAGAATCGACGAACCTTCTGCCCAAATTCAGCATTTGACACGGCCGTGCCAAAAATAGGCTAATTTTGGCACGGCCGTGCGGGCCTGTTTTCAGCCAATTTCAGCATATTTTTGATTATTTCACTTTTGGCCCATATTTTCTCCAAATTTGCAGTTTTGACCTCAAACTTTTCCAATTCTTCAATTTATACCTAAAATACAATAAATCAACTTTTTAACCACCAATTATCGTTAAATCACACCAAAAGCTCAAATAAAAAGGTACGATAAAGTATAAAAATATATACTTAACAGTAAGTCAATCTTATAACAATAACTTAGTTTCATCATTCTTTGAACAATCATAATTGATTTCGTTATTTTTAATATATATATATATATATATATATATATATATATATATATATATATATATATATATATATATATATATATATATATATATATATATATATATATATAGTATTGTGATGCTAGTTGGTTGAATCGAATATTGTATAATTGTATAGTGATAATATTATAACAATAAAATGACAATGAAGAAGACCTTTCGTCACATGAAGTGTTGATTGTTTGATGAGAGTTATGTTTAAGTGATAGGTCCACTATTTGACAGAGTTGTTGATGAAAAATGACCACAGCTACCTAATCTTTTATGATAGTGTTGGTGTATAATTAGCATCAACGTTACATTTGATTTTGTGTTTCTTACGAAATAAAAAGTAAGAAAACAAATAATCATGTAAAATTTTAAAATATATTTGAGTACCCCAGTTTAGTAAAAAGTAAATTAGTTATTAGCTCAACTCAATAGTGTTGATTAATTTAGTGAAGTTAAACTCGCACTTTAAAATAAAGTTAGCTCACATTTCCGATAAATTTCGATCATAGTTCTCTCATCTATACTCTAGTTTCAACGATTCAAGTTGCATTAAATATCAAATAATCATCGCTAGCTACAATACTTTTAGCTAATAAAAATGTGATATAGTTTTGTAAAAATAATTAGGGAGAGACCTTAATCAGAACTAAATAAAATGCAGTCCAAACCTTATTTAAAAAACAAATCTATTTATATTGACCATTTGCAATGACCTTTGCATCTTACACATACACTGTCACACAAGGCACTGAAATGATCTAAATAAATAGGAGTTATTAGTGAAAGGGTTCTCTATTATATATAGCAATTGTGAAATAATTCATTTGTAGAGAAATTCTTTAACTTGTTTTAAATTCTCTCAACCTTCATAACTTAAAACTTTCTAAATCGCAATTTTTTATCGTGGTAGTATAAGTTGCAACAAAACAATTATCAACATGGCTGACATCGATTCAAACACGTTCTTTTTCTTGAATTTCGACATTCTAAATGCATTTCGTGTAGAATTACACAAAAGAACTGCATTTCTTTTTTTACTTTTGTGTCATTTCATGTAGAATCGCACGAAATGAGATATTTCATTTCATGTGATTCTACACAAAATGACGCAAAAGTATAAAAATATTGTAATTGATTTTTTCAATAAATAAATAAATAAAATGAAAAAAGAAATTTAAAAAAAACAATGAAAAAAAACATCAAGTAGTGGATATATTAGCCTATTGGGTAATGAATAGTGGGGAAGGATAAATTTGTAAAAAGGAAATTGCCAATAAGATCCATTCTTATAGGGGTGGGGGTGGGGGGTTGGTTTGGAATATCAGTTTCTTTCCCTGTACTTTGGCTTGATATCATTTTACCATCTTTCGATTGCATCAATTTAACTTCATGTATTTGAAAAATTGCATCAATGTGGCCATCGCTGTTAGTTTTCAGATCTTTGATCTTAACACCGTTTGATCTAATTCTGAAAAAAAAAAAAAAAAAAAAAAGTCATCCGTCCCAGTTTAAGTAATTATTAAAAAAAAAATTGTGGTTGGTGTCGTGGACTATGTTTTCTCGTTGTCTTGATTTTTTTATTATTATTTTTTTTTTAATAATTATTTAAACTGAAAGAGATAGGGTTTTTGTAATTTCAAAGTTTATATCAAACGGTGTTAAGGTCAAACGTCTGACAACTAACATCGAGGGCCACATTGAGACAATTTTTCAAGTGTAGAGGAGCAAATTAATGCAATCGAGAGTAGAATAGAGTAAAGT